GTATTTCAATTTCTAATATATTCTTTTAGTTTTTTTTATTATTTTTTAATGTTTATTTTGGAGAGAGAGAGACAGAATGCGGGGAGGGGGGGCGGCGGGGCGCAGAGAGAGAGGGAGACACAGAAACCAAAGCAGGCTCCAGGCTCTGAGCTGTCAGCACAGAGCGGACAGCAGCCTCAACCCCACAGACCGGGAGATCATGATCTGAGCCGAAATCCCACACCTGACCGGTGGAGCCACCCAGGCACCCCTATTTTTTTATTTTGAAGAGAGAGAGGGCGTGAGTGAGTGAGGAGCAGAGAGAGAGGGAGAGAAAGAGAATCCCACGCAGGCTCCACACTTTCAGCGCTGAGCTCACCCAGGCAGGGCCTGAGTTAAGGATGTGGGGCTGGAACTCACCAACAGTGAGATCATTACCGGGCCGCTGAGGTTGGATGCTTAACTTCCTGGGCTACGCAGGTGCCCCTTTCTAACATCTTCTAAGTTTTCAAAAAGGTTTTTGTTGTATTTTTGGAGTGCACATCTTCGATGTAACTATTTTAGTGGTTAAAATACATGAACTTAAGTTTGCATTTCCATTTTTAAAATAGCTAATCATGCTTTTAAGGAAAAATAAAAAATAAATGTCACTAAGTTGGTTTAACATTTGAAGGGGCAAGCCGTGAGACATTTTTCTAATGCAGTTTATGTTTTTGTTTGAAGAATACTTTGAAGATGTCTATAACAACTTGTATGCACTGGCCTGTTACTTCGGTAATTCTGAAGACAAATGGGTAAGGAACCACTTCTATGAACGATGTTTTAAGATTGCTCAACGGATCAAAATTGACGGTGGGAAGAAAGAAGCCGAGGCGCATGCGCACATGGGACTTCTCTTCGAGGAAGAGGGTGAGTGGTCATTTGTCAGGCTGTCCTGGGTGCTTTGGAGGATTCAGAGTCCAGGCAACCAGAAAGCACGTGGGGATTGAGAAAAAGACCTGAGGCGTTAGTATAAGCATGTAAGTTATTGAGATTAAAAAGCAAAGGTGTGTGACTTATGGATTCACCTTAAGCATTCCTTGCAGTCATACTCCACCCAAGCGCTCAGGCTAGAGTTCCCAGCAGCAGCAGCAGCAGCAGCAGCAGCAGCAGCAGCACGGAGAATAAGCATCCTCCCGTATCCATCCACATATATCCGTCAGTGCCACTTGCTGTGTGGTTTTGAATTTCTTACCATTCTTAAGTCCTCTATTCATTTTAACTTGATTTCTCCTGTATGAAAATGGGAATAAAGGAAGGCATGCTTCGTGACTTTCCTAATGCCACATGTCCCCTACAAAGGGGACCAAAAAAATACCTCTATAATTTAGATATTGCCCCGTTGTGATTTATAACAACTTCTGAAGGAAAAGTCCTTTAAAAGTAACTTCATACTTAATGATGTTATCTTAAGACAAGACTGAAACAACAACAACAAAAATCGTCTAAACATATTTTGTATGATGGCTTACTAAAGGATGCAAATAGAAATTTAAGAATTAAAATTATGGAAGGAATGGTGGGTAGATAATATGCAAAGAAAATATATGAAAA